GCACCCTGTACTTGGAGAAGTGGTCGCCACGGGATCTTGAGCGCCACCCACCCACCCGGCAGTATTAACCAGGGCGGCGGCACCCGCTGGTTTAGAACCGCGAACTTCTGGCTACCGCGAGGCCGCGACACAGTCCACCTCCTGTGTTAGGCAGCCGTGGACTGACTTCATGGTCACACGGCAGCGTCCCCGTGTGTGTGTGAGATCGGTGGTGTAGGGGTGAGCACAGCAAGTTGGCACGGTAGGGGGCACAGGTGGTGCATCGGCCAGTCGTCTCAGTCAGTCGACCCGTGGCACCTGGGTCTGCCCCGTGACCTCCTGCCAGCGAGCGTTCGACACTTCACGTGGCCTCAACGTGCACGTAGCCTGGCACAGGCGTCGTGTTGACGTCACCGCCACTTAGTGGCGAATGGCGGTTGTTGTTGTTGTAGCGGTGAGCGCTACACCGCGCTACGAACCTGGAGTCCCCGCCGTCGATTCCCGCTCACGGCCAATTATCTGAACCGGTCCTGGGTCTAGGTCTACTCAACCTCAAATGAGTACCTGGTGCGGTGTGTAGTAAACATCGTCACTAGGGAGACAAAGGCGGCCGGGCGTGGTGTTGGCCACCCACCCCCTCGTGTGCCGTGCTGGCCTTCATAGGTGCTCTCTAACAGCACGTGCCCCAACAGTCTGTTAAGGCTATACGGGGGATCTTTGTTTCTGCGTACATATTCGCACCTCTGATTGGCAGGGTTGGCTACGTACGGTGCGAAATCATTTCAACATGCATACTTATACATGCGTATGCTGAGACAAAGGCGGCCGGGCGTGGTGTTGGCCACCCACCCCATTGTTATGACGTTCCGACCTTCACATGTGCCACTCGCTAACAGCACTTACCCCAACAGTCTGTTAAAGGTTATACCGGGGATCTTCGTGTGTGTCCGTGGGTGAGCGATCGTGTAACGGTTCGCTCGCTGCGCTATTAAACCGGTAACCCGAGCTCGATTCGAGCTCATGGCCAACATCAGTGATTAAGTGAATATTTGAACTACTCAGCCTTAAATGAGGATCTGGTGCGGTGTGTACATTTTTTTTGGATGGGGAGACAGATGCGGCTGTGCTGACCACACCGCCCGAACTGTGCGCCGTGCCAGACTTTGTAGGGGGATCTCTGTGGCTTTGTCCTGCGTGCATATTTTGTTATGGGGGGCGGTAGCGCAGTGGTTTGCGCGACCAAACCCGAGTTCATTTCCCGGCCACGGATAACATCAGTGGCAGGTGATATCTGAACACATTCACACAAAGACATACTGCGTTTGCACGCACGCGTAAAGACAAAGATCCCCCGTATAGCCTTAACGGGATTTTGGGGCAAGTGCTGTTAGCGAGGACCTACGAAGACCGGAACGGCGCACGAGGGTGTGGGTGCCCAGCACCACGCCCGGCCGCCTTTGTCTCCCTCGTGACAATGATTACACACCGCACCAGCTACTCATTTGAGGCTGAGTCGATCGATGGGAGGCACGGGACCGGTTCAAATAATGATCATTGGTGTTGGCCGTGAGAGGGAATCGAACTCGGGTCGCTGGGTTCGTAGCGCAGCGCGCTAACCGCTACACTACCGCTCCCCACACACAGACACACAGGCGCGCGCACACCACACACACAGTGACACACACCGCTCGACCCTGCATGTCGGAAGCGCTGTGTGAGTGGTGATTCACTTCGCGCTCGTTACACCGCTCTTTCTCTCCCTCTCGAGTACAACACGCCGAGTGACAGACAGGCAAACATCTCACAATGCATCGATTTTGTCGTGGTGGTGATTTTGTCGTGGTGGTGGTGGTGATTTTGTCGTGGTGGTGGTGGTGATTTTGTCGTGGTGGTGGTGGTGGTGATTTTGTCGTGGTGGTGGTGGTGGTGGTGATTTTGTCGTGGTGGTGGTGGTGATTTTGTCGTGGTGGTGGTGGTGATTTTTGGTCACACGGACATCAGAGAATAACGACGCGAGGCTTGAAAAAAGTTAAAAATAGATTTATTAATTTTGTCTTTTTTTTTGTCACAAAAGGCATTCGACTCCTTCTGCCGCGAGACTTTACAGATCGCGAAAGCATCGCACAGTGCGCGCGCGCACACACACACACGTGTACATACACGCAGATACACACATACACACGCGTACATACACGCAGATACACACACACACGCGTACATACACGCAGATACACACACACACGTGTACATACACGCAGATACACACACACATGGGTACATACACACAGATACACACACACGGGTAAACACACCGCAGCAGGTACTAATTTGAGGCTGAGTCGACCCAGGGTAGGCCCAGGGCCGATTCCGATCATCATCACTGGTGTTGGCCGTGAATGGGAATCGAACTCAGGTGGCCGGGTTCGTAGTCCAGCGCGCTAACCACTAAACTACACTAGAACTCCCCCCCCCACACACACAGGTACACACACACGCACACAGGTACACACACACAAGTACACAAAGACAAAGATCCCCGGGATAGCCTTAAAAGACTGTAGGGGCAAGTGCTGTTAGCGAGCACACACAGGTACACACGCATAGGTACACACGCAAAGGTAGACACGCATAGGCACACACACATGTACGCACAGGTACACACACACACAAGCACACGCACAGGCACACATTGGAATAGACACATTGGGATAGACACACCAAAAAAACAATATTCCCCGTTTCACCTTTTTCAGGGTGTTGGGGCAAGTGCTGTTAGCGAGCAGCACACACACCACAACACACATTCACGCACACTCGCAACAAACGCACAGGCACACACACTGCACACGCAGAGGCACACACACTACACACGCACAGGCAAACACTCCACAACACACACAAGGGACACACATATGCAAACACACACACAATCACACAGCTGCGCACAGGCAAAGACACACGCACACACGCACCAGAAGCACAGGCACACACACAAGCAGAGACACTCCACAGCCACACAAGCACACACACACACACATCTATACAGAGATATACACACAGAGATACACGTTCGTACACAAAATATATACAGAGATATACACAGAGATACACGTTTGTACACACACATCTATTCAGATATATACACACAGAGATACACGTTCATACAAGACAAAGACACACACGTACACATATACATAGAGAGATATACGCACAGAGATACACGTTCATATACACATACACGTACATACATAGAGATACACACAGCCACGCACACATGTACACACACACACACCGCAAAACACACGCAGACACACAACATCACCCAGACACACACAAACACACACAACTCACGCACCAACACACACACACACCACAGCAGACACACATGTACACACAACATCACCCAGACACAAACACACACCTCACGCTCCAACACACACACACCACAGCAGCAGACACATACAGACACACAACATCACCCAGACACACACACACAACTCACGCACCAACACACACACACCACAGCAGACACACATGTACACACAACATCACCCAGACACAAACACACACACCTCACGCACCAACACACACACACACACCACAGCAACAGACACATACAGACACACAACATCACCCAGACACACACAAACACGCACACCTCACGCACCAACACACACACATACCACAGCAGACACATACAGACACACAACATCACCCAGACACACACAAACACACACAACTCACGCACCAACACACACCACAGCAGACACACAACATCACCCAGACACACACAAACACACACACACACCTCACGCACCAACACACACACATACCACAGCAGACACACACAGACACACAACATCACCCAGACACACACAAACACACACACACAACTCACGCACCAACACACACCACAGAAGACACATGCCGATCCACGCGCGCGCACACAGGCGCGCACACCACACACGCGCACAGCCCAAAATAGATTATCATCAGCATTTTTATGAGATTTCTTCAGCGTGGCGCGCCGTCTGCTTGTGCATAATCTTTGTAAACATTATAGAGTTAGGGGGGGGGGGGGCAGCGGCGAAGGTTGCGGGGGCGGTCAGGGCAAAAGTGTCATTGTTGGTGGATGTGGTGGGAAGGCGGAGTGGAGCAGCGAGGTGCTTCTCCAGCCCCCCCTCCAACCACCGCCCCGCCCCCCACTCCCCTCCCCCCCGCATCTCAATTATCAAGAAGAAGTTTACATCAGCGAGCGAAGCGCGCGCAGATTTCGTTAAGCGAGCGGGTGAAGGTGGCTGCGTGGGGGGAGGAGGAGTGGGGATACGAGACACGCACAGAGAGTTGGCGTCTGTCAATTGACGCAGCCCCCCCCCCCCTCTCTCCCCCCAATTGGATGCAACCGTGGAGGCCTTGGGCCAGGGTGGGTGGAGGGGGGGAGGAGGGGGGGGTGGAGGGGGGGGGGGAAACATGGCCCGTTCCCCGTCTCCAGACACGAGGAGCCCGCGTGAGACACCACAGGGGGCGACCGACAGAGCGACCCCCCCCCCCCCCTTTACACCCACACTGAGCTCCGTCCTCGCGGAGCTGATCGGGGTCAGGGGAGCCGCTGAGGGCGAGGGAGCTTCGGCGACTTTATAAGGAGCGCCTCGGCCAGCTCCCCCGAACGCACCCCCTCCCCCCCGCCGGGAATAAACCGAACAATCATTGAGAGCGCACGCACATCGATGAGCTCTCAGGAGTATCGGTGAACTTCGGCGGTCATCGATGAGCTTCAGTGAGCTCTGGCGAGCATCGCCGAGAGTCGTCGCTCACAGCGCTTGAACGTCAACCGGCACGTGTCGGCGACTCTTCAAATAAACCAACCGAGCCGAGAGAGAGGGGGAGAGAGAGAGAAAGAGAGAGAGAGAGAGCGAGCGAGAAAGAGAGAGTTCCATCCAGTCATCAATAAATGCACCTCTCATCCGGCCTCTCCCATTACCCTAGCCCCCCCCCTGCCCCACCCCAATCCCCTCCCCCATCTCCTCAAATCAGTCCCACCCGAAGTCGTGACCCACCATCTGGTAGAACTTGTAGTTGAAGGGGCGGTAGAACTCGCGCAAACTGCGCACCACCGCCGGCTGGATGGCCGGGTGCCTGCGGCCCTTGCTCTTGCCGAGGCAGTGCGGGAGGCTGCTGCCCTCGGGCTTCTTGAGGCAGGGGAACCCTTTGGTCTGGTTGAAGTAGAAGTGCTTGTCCGAGATGATGCGCTTGAGCCCCAGGAAGTCCTGCACGCGCGCCAGCTCGCCGGCCGGGTCGAGCACGAGCCGCTCGCCGCTCACGAAGAGCATCTGCTCGAGCGGGAAGTGTCTCCGCCACGCCTCGAGGTGCTTCGCGTAGAGGCCGATGCGCACGGCGCTCCACGAGGAGTCGACGCCGCCACCGCCGCCGCCCGCCGAGCGGTTGTGGAAGGCGAGGCTCGCGAAGCTGGGCAGGCGCGGCGACTTGGTGAGCGTCTGCGTGTAGTCGGAGATGGCGCGCGTCACGGGGTCGCGCACCACCACGATGAGTCGCGTGCTGGGCGACATGGCGCGGATGAGCGCCGGGGCGTCGGCCGTCACGTAGTAGCTGGGAGTCTTCTCCATCGTGATCTGGCCGTCCAGCGTGCGCGGCATCAGGCTCCTTGAAACGTCACCGACACAACAGCGCGGGGCGCGCGTCACACACCAGAAGGCAAATGCAAAAGATCCCCCGCCCCCCTTATAGCCTTAACCGATTGGTTGGGGCAAGTGCTGTTAGCGAGCAACTATGAAGACCGGTAGGGCACACGAGGGGGTGGGTGGCCAGCCCCAAGCCCGAACGCCTTTTTTCTCCCGAGTGTGCAATGTTCACACAATTTTAGGGCTGAGTCAACCTAGGAGAGGCCCTGGACTGGTTCAGATAATCGACACTGGTGTTGGCCGTGAGCGGGAATCGAACTCGGGTCAATGGGTTCTTATGGAAGCGCGCTAACCGCTGCACCACCGCTCCCCACGCATCACACACCACACGAGACATTTTTTAATTTTGCGTGTCTCTCTCTCCCCGTGGTCGCGTGGATTATTTTCCCTCCTCTTTTTTCCCCTCCACATTTTAGAAACATGAATTTAAATCACAGTATTTTGATGATTTTGCTTGCTAAACATTTGCACGTAATAAGCCACTTTGTTGAGCTCTCATTTGTGGCCAGGTCGCTTCTGAAGAATAAGATAATACCTCAGTGGGCTCTACCTGGTATAATTACAAATATAAAGTTGAGTTTAAATTGTGTATTGTTTGTTTGTTGTAACGTTCTGACCCGACCCTGCTGGACATCTGTGGGGAAAAAAAGCTTTGTAGCTCATCGGATTGCTCAACTATAAATACATATTCTGATTCTGACACAAAGATCCCCCGTCTAGACTTAACACACTGTTGGGGCAAGTGCTGTTAGCGAGTAGCACCTATGAAGGCCGGAACGGCACACGAAGAGGTGGGTGGCCAGCGCCACGCTCAGACACATTTCATTTTCCTCTCTGCTGACGATGTACACACACACACACACCGCACCAGGTACTCATTTGAGGCTGCGTCTACCGAGGGGGGAGACCCAGGCACGATTCAAATAACCATCACCGGTGTTGGTGGCCGTGAGCGGACAATCGAACTCGGGTGGGCGGGTTCGTAGCGCAGTGAGGCTAACCGCTGCGCCACCGCTCCCCCCTCCCGCCACACTCTCGCACAGACACGCGTACGCTGTTGTTCACGATGGAATCCGAGCCATGAGTTGGATCACAGCAACTGCCTGGGGCGCTGCGTGCAGTGCGCAGTGGATGCATTTTTTCCATCACGGGTAAGATGGAACGGGTGGGTGGAGGGAGGCAGCGAGGTCTGGAGTTGAGAATCTCCGGTCCCGAAGAGATTCCAAGAGAAAGTGTTGCAGTAAAGTGGTAGTGAGATGTTAACTCCCTCGCCTGGTATACAGGAGGCTCGTGGGTTCGATCCCGACCCTGACGCCTGCTGCTGTATATTTGGAATTTGCATCTCCCTCTCTCCCCGCGTGGTCGTGTGGATTTTTCTCCACATTTAGAATCAACGTGCGTTTAGAGTATTTGGCTGCTATACATTTCCACGTGATAAGCCACTTCGCTGAGCTATCTTTTGTGGCCAGATTGCTTCTGAAAAAGAGCTACATAGCTCTTATAACTTTACCCGAGAAAGTAAATACAAACTTTAAGTAGTTTAGTTTAGCTCCCTGACCAGTCTGCTTTCATCCCTCGGGCATTTAACTCTGAAGGGTGCAGCATCCACACAAGCGCTCAGGCAGACCCTCTGGTCTCTTTTAAATGTTCAGGCCATCTGAATGGATCTTCGTCTTTTTCGTCGTGTCTCCTGTCCAACCTCTATGGTCTTTCCCCAATATTCTGCACAGGCCACCGCTCCTGGTGCTGGCATTGCCAAAATCTTGCTGAGTGCATTGCGTTGCCGCAGGTCATCTCGGGAGATGGTCCACGATTTGCTTCCAATCGATAACCTCCTCGCGGTGCATCCTGGTAACTTCTGAAGGGCTATTCTCCAGAAGGCCAAATCTATTAACCACTCCTAAACCAACCATCTGAATGGATATTGTCTGAATACGAAAAAAAGAATAACAAGCCACAAACAGTGCGATTGTGGCCATACAATACAAACTATGGACCGACTAGTTTGACCCATCGAGGCACGGAGAGATACAAACAGACGCAGAGAGACGAGCGGAGATATGTAGAGAATGAAAAATAATACATAAAGGCTCGCCCAGACGCAGAGACAAATAGGGATGCATTAGGGGCATGCCACAGGAGTGTAATTGTGGCCATACAATGGAAACTATGGACCGCATAAGTAAAGCCAGAGATACCCATATAAACACATCGATTATCATCGAGACACGTAGAATAATGTTGTAATGTTGCAATGTGCACTGACGCCTGCTTTATTCACAGAGACCCATAGAGACACAGATATCAATACAGACTCGTACATGAACGACAAACCGCAGTAATGCGATTGTGGCCATGCCACCCAAACTATGGGCCACAGGGTAAAACCACTGTGGTCTGCGCTCTTTTAACGAGGGGAGAAGATGAACAGCAGAGACCACACGCACTCCTCTCTCTCTCTCTATCTGTGCTGATGCCCTCTCGTCGTGGCGAGCAGCAGCAGGAAACCTCGACAATGCCATTTAGTTTAACATGTAGTAGGCTTTCGCGGCCAAATATTATCCACAATAAAGGTTTGTTTTGTGGGGGTGGGGGGGTGTTGGTTCGCGTAAAGAGCACCTGAACCAGATGGCCCGCTATACGCATGAACGGAAGAGAGCGTCTCAATATTCAGGTAGTCCGCCTGAATGTTTCAGGCGCCGTCAGCATCATCATTGTCAGGCATGGTCAATCCACCGCTGGATGAGAGGCTCTCCCAAGCCGCCCGCCTGCCACCGGCCCTCCATTCTTGCAAATAAAGGTCCAATATATATCAATGTTCTGATACTTGCATTGTCTTTGTGCAGTTAACCTTTTGGCGTTCTCTGTTACAACGCCGGTGAGACAAGGCCATGAAGAAGGCTGTCTCTGGTGTATGCCAATTAAGTTTCAAAGGTAATGCACACATTATGAGGGCATGCGTGTCGCCATGTTTTGCCACGAGTGCGTGCTGTTGATGCAGAAACACCAAAAGGTATCCATTTGGTGTTTAAAAATATTGACGCATCCTATTTTTTTTTATTGCCAGAAAGGGTAAGACACTCCCCTTATTGTTTCACGATCCTGCGCCGTATCAATTCGTGCTGACCCGCACGGCGGCTTTTGGCTCAGCCGTCGAACAAAGGCGGTCGCCGCGTCGCGCGATTTCAGATGTGGGAACTCTGCGGCCGCCTGGAACGCTCTTCCTTCCGATATCAGGAAGTCACTGGGGCTGTGCATTGTTAAACCATCCAGATTGAAAGCTCGTTACTTTAGAACCGCTCTTTGTCTTTAGTTTGTTGTCCCTCTCCCGCACCACCGATTAGCACGGTTGGCAACGTACGTTGCGAAGAAAGCTCAGGACGCATACGTAGATCAACACACACGAACTAAACTCCATCGCTCCATCTCCCTCCGGTGGACGTCCCTCCATTCCATTTCGTTCCATTGCAATCGGTTCTATTCTGGCACCAACAGTATCTTCAATTTTTGACACGTTCCTGAACAGTGTGACGAATTTAAATAAAGCATAAAGCAAACACATGGACGTCACTATTATATTGTGGCCTTAAAATTATATATACATTTGGTAACGTTTCGAGCAATGGTCCTTTCTCAATGTACAATGGATGCCAGTGCTATTGATGATGAATAGCTTTGTATGTATTGCAGCAGAGAGGGCCCATTGAGACGTTAGGTCGGCTCTCTACATCATCTGCGACGGTGCAGATGTCGGGACAGTTACAGATCTGAGTATTACAATCCTGGTTACATCGGTCACGGTAAAAACAGCGAGTATCAGGATAGGGACTCCTCTACTTACGAACATTCGACTTACGAACCTTCAGAGATACGAACAAACCGTATGTCCAGCCTGTTCGGACCGAGAGTCGAAAGTTCAAACGCCGCGCAATAGATGGCGATGGTGGCATCTACATCTGCAGAGCATGAAGAACCAGTGGCATCTGCATCTGCAGGAGATTATATAACTTTTAAAGGAATTCCCGTGTTTAATGTACATTCCGTACAACATGTTTGGAATCTACAGAAGTAAAATTTCGATTTAAAGCTTTCGTGACTGCAGGGATTCATTATTTTGGTTCTTTCGGTAAAGTCACGTAGAATGGAAATAAAATAATAAAAATAAAACATAATAAAATAAGATTCTCACGACGTTTCGGCCACAAAACAAGTAGCCTTCTTCAGGTGAATAAACAGGACTGTCCAGAAGACAGCGCTCGAGTGAACATTACCAAGCCTGGACCGCGTCTTTTTTTAAGCTGTGTGGGTGGAATTAACATATGAATTAGCGTGCTACCCAGCACCACCACCGGATCGGGGGAGGGTGGCGGCGGGTACACGGAAAAAAGGAAAGAAAAAAGGAATAGGATAGGCTGCTCTGTCCTGTGTTGCGTTAATAACTATGCTATAAACTGGACTACCTTCCAATATAAACTACATGGTATAATATCATATCCATAGACAAAAAATTCCACCTTTGAATTATACAATGCGTTACTCTACACTGCCCTATACTTCAGACTATTAAATATTAGACTTGTAATTTTACACTATGTCTGATTTTATCAACCCCACTATATGCCACACTGCTGTATATTCACTATACAATTACGATACTATATATTGTCATGTGAATTGTGTTAAACATTACGATGTTATACTATTTATTATTATTATAATACCACATGCTATAAACTATACCATTGACCGTCGTGTGAAAGGTATTAAGAGGCAGTGCCAACGAATGGACTTCGGTCTGAAGGTCACCGTAAAATACAATCAATTAAGAACCGAAATGGTTTATAACATCTTTCCAATGGTTACTAAGCCAGAATCCATCTTCTCGGTTGAAATTGTCTCTGTGTTTGTATATGTGGATGGCCTCATGAACAAATCTCTCATGGTAGCCGGATGGCTTGCAGA